AAGCTAAGAACGCCATGAGGCACCTCTTTTGCCATTTGTGAGACTGTCTGGAAGTCACAGGATCTATATTTGAGTGTGGACTTTCCAGCACAGCTGTAAATGGGTGGGGGCTCTTCTGTAAATAAACCCCCCACCCTATGCTTTGTTATCAAGGCCAATAAACTCATCAGGACTTTCCAAAAAACAAATAAATAAATAAATAAATAAATAAATAAATAAATAAATAAATAACAGAGCTAATGGAAACCTTCATTATTCCACAAAGTTGACCCCATGTGGGCAAATCCTTTGGTCTTTGATTTCTTATTCCTATGTTCTCCCCTCAAACTTCAATATATATATATATATAACCTGCTTCGAGTTATTTCTGGAAAAATGTGTTAAAAATTGCCTCTTTTTGGAATAAAAAAATTTAAATTTAAATTTAAAAAACTCCTCTAAGCATCTCTTCATGCCTCAGTGAACCAGCTCAAGCTGCCCTGTATATCAGCATAAAAACCAGAGAAGGCTCTACTGCCTGGCCAAAGAGCACATAGCTCAGCACATGGCCCTGCAGCATGGCCCAGCAGCCATACTGTCACATTATACAATGATGCAGCACTCAAGGACCCTCACACTGGAAGAGGAACAGAGCTCTTTGGGAGCCTGGGGAATCCTGACACACTACTGGCTATAGCTGTGGCTGCTCTGTTCCTACAGATGCTGTGATGTGAACTGGAGGCTGATCACTCATTGTAACTGTACCATCAGGTGGCTGGGCCTGTGATGGTGCAGTGTCTGGTCACAGCTGGTGCTCCAAAAGCAGTTGCTGCAGGAATTCCCCTCTGTCAACATCACAATAGGATGAAGCATGTAAACCTGACCCTTGGCCCCTAACATCGACCCTAGGACTCCTACTCATAGAAGAGCCCCTGGCTCCATTCTGCCCTTGTCTGAAGGTCAGGCCTTGCCCTGCTAGCTCTCCCAAGCTGAGTTTGGCACATGTGTCAGCATGTCACTTCTGGGCACCCTGTGTCCTGGGTACCAGGTACAAGTGAGGAAACTACACCACACTGGGCGGGAGGCGGCAACAGACGGGATCAGGACATTGGCCATCCACAGAAACAGATACCTAGGACCAGAGGGTCTGGTCAGGGGCTGCCTGGGAGGGCTGATTCTGAGGGACCCTCCCCTGGAAAAGGCCAACTTCTGCCACACATACCCTGACTTGGGGCCTGGACCCATGCTCTCTGCAGCTGCTCTACAGTCAGCTGACTGGCAGCCTCAGGGAGTTCCCTCCAGCTGAAGCTGCGGATTTGGAGCCAAAAGTTCCCTTCTCAGACCTGCTGGCTGTCAGGGAGATGAGTTCACTGGTCTTGTTGGCCCCTCCAGCCTGGTTGTCACAACAAGCAGATTTCGCCACAGATCTAAAACTGTCTCTCAGATGCTGGCAACAGTGGGCAGCCAGAAGGAATGATGAGGGATCCCACATCAGACATGGACATCATCATGATGGCACACCAGGGTGATAGAAAACACTGTCTTAGCATAAGTTCCAGACCCACACATCAAAGCAGCTGTCTTCCTTCTTTCATATCATGGCATAGAGTGGCAGGAAGTTGACAGGCTGGTTCCACTGGGGATTCTATTTAGAAAGCTAAGACCCCACAGGGACCCCCGTCTGCCACCTAGGTCGTGACACCCCTGTCTGACACCCATCCCTGGCCCCATGATTGCTACCTGCCCTGATGTTTGCTGTTGTCAGTGTCCCAGCTCCCAATCAGTGTGGGACCTGTGGTGACACCCTCCTAAGAGTTGCAACAGCTTGGCTGGCTTCTGGCTGTGTTCACACGGGTGAGCCCATCTCGGCCTTGAGCAAAGTGCATGCCACCCTGGCTCTCAAACCTCAGGGTGACATCCCACTTTCTGTGGCTTTTCAGGGCCACACTGGCACAAAGACCTTCATAGTAGGGATCTTGGCAAGAAGGGACAGGTAGTAAACAGATGGTATAACACACATACATGTGGCTGATGGAGGTGTCCTTGGCGGGAAGAAGGGCATCCCAAAGCATGCAGAGGTTCCAATGATGGACAACTCCCAGGATTCCGAGAGGGTGCAAAGCCAAGAAAGGTACAAGCAGACAAACATTCCAGTCAGAGGGACCACTGTATGCAAGAGCCCAGAGGCATGTTAGGTAGACAAAGTGGGTGTGAAGGGATGCAAGGGACAGAGCCCCTGAAGGGGCCCAAAGGAGCTGGCAAAGGACAAGGACCCAGGAAAGCCCTGAGGTTGAGGCTTGGTGGACACTGGAGCTAGGGAAGAGACCCTGAAGGAAAGTGGGGGCTCAGAAGCAAGAAGGCTACAGCAGGAGCTGAGCTGAGTGGGGTGCTGTCCCTTGGGAAACAGGGACTGCTCAGCAGGCAGGAGGTCCTCATCAATGTCACCCAAGTCTTTAAGTCTAGGGGCTTGGTGATGCCTTGAGATAGACTTGGAATGATGGAAGGGGATAACCTGGGGCTGTGGCAGGTTGATACCTGAGCTAGGCAGGGGCTTAGGCAGACAGACTACACAATGACCCTGGAGGTCCACAGCCCAAGCATCTGACAAGCCATCCCTGTATCCAGTATTCTGTCCAACTCAGGAGCAGGTCTCTGGAGGGTATTGCTGCTTTCTGGTCACTGTACTGGTTCCTGTTGTATGTTTGGGTGCATGTGGCCCTTATTCCCTAGCTATCAAAGCTAGGACTGCCCCTTCAGTGGGGCCTCAGGTTCCGTGGAGACTGCAGCCTGGCCCCTGAGCATCATTAGAAAATAACTACTGCTGTCAGCAAACATATGCTACAGAGGGCAGCATCCGTATCCTGCCTACCCTTGTGCTGGGATACAGGGACAGGGCCTCACCAAGGTAGGGGCCTCCTAGGACCCTCATCTGTGGCTGCCTCCAGTTCCATTTATTCTTCCTGAATGTTGATCAACAAGCAGAGAGTGCTCTGAGGGAAGTGGTTAGCTATGAGTGTGAACTCGACTCAGGGGCCCTCTGACAGGGAAGGGCATGGGAAATCCTTAAGATGAGAGCTGGGCTTGCCTACAGTGGGTGAGTGGGTGAGCCTGAGTGTGCGCATGAGTGTGAACTGGTATGAGTGTATAAGTATAAAAATTAATATGTGTAAGAGAGAGCTAGTGTATGGTTGTACACAAGTGTGAAGAGGATGTGTGTGAATGTGAGCTCTGTGAGTATGTGGTGGTGGTAGTGAATATGGCCTGCGTGCATCTGCATGTGAGCATGAGCATGAGAATTAATGTGGATGAGTGTGACCTGTGTATGTAGTGTGTATGTCAGAGTGTGACCTGTGTGAGGCTGTGACGATGTGGTCCTGTGCATGAAGCAGGGTTTCCATGCAGTGTGGAGGTGTGGGTGAATGCATGAAGGGGAGTGGGGGGAGTCTCCATGAAGTAGGTGTGGGTGAGTTCATGAAAGGGAAGAAGGTGTGGTGGAGTCTCCACATATACAGGGACTGTCCATCAGCTAAGCCAGGGGCAGCAAACTTACAGTCTCTGGGCCCCGCTGGGCCCCATAACTTGTTTTTTGTAAATGAATGTTTTTCTTGATAATAAACACATTCTTAACGAAGATATTGGAGCTGGAGAGATGGCCCAGCGGTTAAGAGCACTGACTGCTCTTGCAGAGGACCCGGATTCGATTCCCAGCACCCACATGGTGGTTAACAACCATCTGTAGCTCCAGTTCCAGGGAAGTTGACACCTTCTTCTGACCTCCTTGGGTGTTGCACGACACACATGCAAACAATACACTCATACGCATAAAATAAAAATAATAAATTTTTAAAAAGATACAGGGAGTTTAAAAAAAAAGATATCCCCTTATTAGAAGGCAGAATCTGGACAAAACATTGTATTTAGGCCATTAAAGGATTTTGTAAGTAGTTCCTTTCTTCTCTCTCTAACCTCTAAGACTCAATGGACATATATGTCTGTGAATATAAATATATATGTATGTGATTAACCATTATAACTATTAACATAGGAAAAACAAAAATATATAATATTTCATCTTTGAAATCTTTTTTAAAAATTATCTGCTGATTTTTCTGTTTTAAAGGAGTGGACTCTTTTTAAAAACATTTTATTGGTTATTTTTTATTTTATATGTATGAGTGTATTGCCTTCATGTGTATAAGTGCACCTGTGTTGTGCAATGCCAGCAGAGGACAGAAGAGGACATCGAATCCCCTGGAACTGGATTATGGATGGTTGTTAGCCACCATGTGGGCATAGGGAATCGAACCCAGGTCCTCTGTAAGAGCAGTCTGTGCTCTTAACTGCTGATCCCTCCCTCCAGCCCCCATGGAGTGGACTTTTTATATTTGAGAATTTCATACATGCATATAGTGTGTTTTCATCAACCCCGCATCCCTCCCCTACAATTCTTCCCTTACTCCCCTCCTCTTTTGCCTCCCAATTTCACGTGCTCTTTAAAAAATAAAAATCCACCGAGTCCACTTAAGCATGCCAAAATCCCAAGATGGATAGGGAAGAGGGTCATGAAGTCCCGTTCCTGTCCAAGGAGCTATTGGCAACTGCTCACTGCTGAGGGAAGGTCATTTCATCAGGGACACAGCCCGAGAGGCTACCCAAGCTCCAGATGATGGTCCCACATCTGTGTACTTACAGGAGTCACCGAGTGAATAAAGTTGTGCTGGGACTCAGCTCACCCACCCTGGCTGCACCAGGGCCCACCGCCTAGATGGGGGTTGCAATACTTCAGTCCTGTGAGTCCTGTGCATTTGCTCTCTGTCTCTGTAAAACACATTTTCAGACCCCTGGCTGGGCTGCGCTGGGCCCAGGGAGCAGGATGTGATGCCCTTCTTGCTGCTGTTCTTTGACAGGATGCCAGAGGCTCCCCTCCCCCTGCAGAAGGTTCAACATCCCAGTTTGTCAGTCCTGACAGAAAGACAAACATTGATCAGGGTTCAAATGACAATAAAAGGCACAGGCAGCAAGGGCCCATCGACCTGGCCTCTCCTCTAAGTCCAGCGCAAGGCTAGCTGGGAAATGTTCCGGACATTGGCCAGTGTGACCCTGGGCCCCAGAGCAGCAAGTTGGGTACAAACTATGGGCTCTCACCAGCTGCAGGTGCCACCTCCAGAAGCCCTGAGGAAGCCCCTGGCAGTCCCCAAGCGGCTCCTACTGGGTCCTGGACCCTCCAACCTGACTCCAAGGGTGTTGGCAGCCAGCGGGCTGAGAATGATCGGCCACATGCAAAAGGAGGCTTTGCAGGTAGGCTTCAGTGATGAGGTCCTCCATGGGGGGAGTGGAGGTCACTCAGGAGCAGGCCAAGGAGAGGCTCTGACCTGTGTGCCCACTGCCTAGATCATGGATGAGATCAAGCAAGGTATTCAGTACGTGTTCCAGACCAGGAATCCCCTTACACTGGCTGTTAGCGGCTCTGGACACTGCGCCATGGAGACTGCTCTGTTCAACATCCTGGAGCCTGGGGACTCCTTCCTGGTTGGGGCGAATGGCATCTGGGGACAGCGGGCTGCAGAGATTGCAGAGCGCATTGGTAAGGGAGAGAGCAGGCTGTGGCTCAACACCATCCTTCCAGAGGCCTCCTGGGGGAAGCCAACAGCTACCCCCATCACATCAGCCCCTGGCCTGTGCCACCCTGGTCTTCATGCACCACCTCCCCCAGCTGCTGCTTCCTCCAAACAAGCATTAGGGAACTCTCCAGGCACTGCTGGCTGGCAGCACACTGAGCTTCATCCCCCTGGCCTCCTCTTTGACCAAGACTGTTTTGGGAACAGATGGAAGAGGTGCTACGGACAAACCCCCGATCTGAGCCCCAGCAGCCTTCTGGGGTCCTCAGACAGGCTGACCCTCTTCCCAAATCTCAGAGCTTCATTCATCTTTAAATGTGGACCTAGGAACAGTTCTCCCTCCATAGTTTGAGATGGAGGAAGACAGGTATGCACCCCGACTTCCTGACACACTCTGGCCTTTATAGATGGCCTGCATGGTCAGCACTGATCAGCCACACTGCTGATAGACAGTTGGACAGCCCAGGGGGTTGCCGAGCTCTCACCACTTCCTGTTAGTCCACCATTTTCAAGGGGAGCCAGAGGAGGTCGGGGTAGGGACCCAAGGGGACATCAGGCATCCAGGCTCTAGTGCCTACACAAGGCCCTCCCCTCTACCCTTTGCTGATGCATGGGGTGGTCTAGGTTCCTTCCCTCCTAGGACTCTGATTGTGAGCTGTGCGTATGACATGGGACTCAGACAAAGATCAGGGCAGGTGTCTGATTCCTGGCATCACCAGCCCCATGGGGTCAAGGCCTGCTGCATCCTTTCTTGCCCATTCATACCTTCATTCAGTCTTCCATCAAACGTCATGGGTTTTCTATGGGTTGTACTTGGGCCAGGCGGGATCCCATCCCATTTGCACTGCTTAGTGTGAACTCTCACTGTTGCTTCTTAGCTGCATGATGAGGCTGCCAAACATCTTTGGTACCACAGCCTTGAGGAAGAGCTCCCAAGACTCTGGCCCTATTCACAGCAGCCCTCACAGAACGTGCTCCACTTCCTCTGTGGTCCAGCCACCTCGGTGCCAGCATTGACAGGGCCCCCTATACTATCCCCCACTCACTGCCCAGTCTGCTGCTGTCCCCAGGAGCCCGGGTGTACCTGATGATCAAGGAGCCTGGAGGCCACTACACACTGCAGGAAGTGGAAGAGGTACTGGGACACTGGTCCATGACTGGAGGGGTTGGGCTGGGAGACTGAGGCCTGTGACCTGCCTGGATCCTGTCTTAGCATCTGGGATTGGCCACAGGAGGGGTGCTTCAGTACCTTGAAATAGGTGGAAAGCCTGGTTCTGTCTGGCAAGGAAACTGAGTCTGGGATGCAGTCCTGTGGACATCCTGTGGACAGGGCCAGGGTGGCTGTAGGTTGGGTGCAGGGTCAGAGAGGCATGACCTGTCACTCTCCTGCAGGGTGCTGGCCCCTTCCTGTGGTACCAGGCCAGTCCCAACCTACAGACCATAGGGCAGGCAGGATGCCGGCCACTTTTTCTTCTTGGCAAAGCCTTCCACACAGAGCTGAGACATCCCAGTTCCCTCTACCGGCACTGATGGGAAAGGGGTAAAGCATGTCCTATTCCTGCTATCTAGGCTGGCCTAGTCCATGGTAGAGAAAGGGAGTATGTGGGTGACCTTGGCCCTGCCCTCACCAGTTAATGTCCTTCTGCAAGGGGCTGGCTGATCCAGGGAGAGCACCGCCCCCCAGCTCTGCCCATGGCTGTCACTTCTATCCCTCAGGGCCTGGCCCAGCACAAACCAGTACTGCTATTCCTGACCCATGGGGAGTCATCCACCGGCGTGATACAGCCCTTGGATGGCTATGGGGAGCTCTGCCACAGGTGAGCCTGACTCAGGGTGGCGGTGCCAGGGCAGAGCACAACAGAGAGCCTGACCAGGTGATGCTGGCAGGGAACTTAGGTCTGAGGGTGGCAAGGTGTCCCACCCACCCCCAGGTCTCAACTTCACCATTACCTCTGTCACACAGCAAGGGGGAGGGATGATATCACCTGGACCCCTTTGCTCCAGGCTGAATCTGGATGGCCACCTTCTACTTGATGAAAATCCAGGGCCTGAGGCAGGGCCGAATGCCCAAATGCTGCCATGGTACTGACGCTGCATGCCCCATTGCTGTCAAGGGTTGGTTCCGCCCACTGTCTGTACCCTAGGGCCTGTCCCTACCTTACCCAGAGATCCCCAGACCCCAAAGCTGCCCCCTGCCTATACGTCTTCCCCCATCTTTGCACAGGGGCTTAGGGGGGAAATGTCCTAGAATATGGTGCTGTCTACAGAGCTGACCACAGGACAAGAGGAGACTGTTCCACAGCCACAGGGGATCTCCATGGCAGGCCACCATGCACCTCAGGGATGTGGAGCTCACATGGGCAGGGCCCCCACTAAGAGAGCCACACACATGGAGTCCTGCCCATGCATGAAGCTCACAAACTTAATTGGGTGTCTGTGGGAGCCAAGCTGCCCCTACCCATGACTGTGTTCATGGCTGTGCCCACACTATTCTCTGAGGAAACCCCTGGTAGAGGAGGGAGTACTGGCTACTGCCCAATCTTTCCTGGCCTCTGGCCTCTCAGGGCTCTGAGTTTGTGGCCAGTGGCCAAATGGGAAGCCGTTGGTAGAAGAAAGCCCAGATTTTGGTGCAGCCAGGTCACTGGTCCCATAATGGCTCTTGGCACCCTGGCTGCCCAGGCTCTCGTGCACTTCTGAAAGGTCCTGCAGCAGGGCAGCCCGTGTCATGGTCCTCTACCCCAGCCCCAGTTAGACACCTGCTGAACCCCACAGCTGCCTCTGGTTTCAAGGAGCTAGTTAGAAATGGAAGTTACCCCTCCCTTCTTCCTTACACCCTTCCAACGGCGTTCCAGGCCCCTCTAGATACCCAGTCCAGGCTGAAATCTGAATTCCCAGGGCTTCACTGAGCTGCCTCAATGCCCCATGCCCCCTCTAGGTACCAGTGTCTATTCCTGGTGGACTCTGTGGCATCCCTGGGCGGGGTCCCTATCTACATGGACCAGCAAGGTAAGAGTATGCTCTCTACCCTATGGCTGCACAAACTGGTGAGTGCTGACTCTTCAGAAGGCTTAGTGTGACAGCTCCCATAGGCCCACCACCAGCCCTGTCTCCACAGGACCTGGCAAAAGAGATTATATATATAGTTCATAGTTTACTAGGTAGAAAGTACAAACAACATGGCCAGGTCTCTTGCATAGGCCCTGGTTGTGTCACCTCATGGAGGACAGCAACAGCAGGTGTATATAAGGGGAAGAGATTGCATGATGGGATGGGAAGCCAGAGACCAGGAGAGGCTTTCGAAATAGCCTTTTCCTGAAAACTACGCAATGTCAATTCCTTCTGAGGACACTCAGTGACCCAGTCACTTCCCGCTAGGCCCCACCTCTTAGAGGTCCCACCCTTCTCATACCACACTGAGGACCAAGCTTCTAACACACATGAACCCTTAGGGACACATCACATGTACACCACAGGCCTGGGGCAGTGCAAGCTTTGGAGCAAATCAACAGCCTGAGTTTCTGCCAGGTCATCAGTCTGGGTGTGGGGATGTAGCAAGAGGCAGCAGCTACTCTGGGGAGCATTTGAGAGGCTCTCCAGCTGCAGCAGGAGTGGGTGGGAGGAGGGCAAGCCAGGTCCACAGTGCGGTAGGTAGTAAGACTCCCTCAGATGCCACATTGTGCTGCCCAGGTTGGGCTGGTCCTCTTCACAAAGGGAGAAGCTGTGCTAAAAGTCACAAATGTGCTGAGATTTGAACCCAGGACTTCCCCCCACACCCTCCTGGCCTCCACATATCAGTGAAATCTTGACCCACCAGTCACAGAGCAGGGACTGGACTAGGCAGACACACCTACTCAGTGAATTGCTCTGGAGGGGTCTCAGACAATCCGATCCCCATCCTAGAAATCGACATCTTATATTCGGGCTCCCAGAAAGTTCTGAACTCGCCCCCAGGAATCTCCCTCATCTCCTTCAGCGACAAGGCCAAGTGAGTGACCCATGACTTCGCCTCGGGCATGGATGCTGATGGAGCATAGGTGGGGTGTTTGGAGGGATGGAGGGAAGGGCTCCAGGTCAGGACCTTTCCCTGCTCACCCTGCTAGGGCATCCTGAAGACCAAGATGTACTCCAAAGCTGGTTCAAAGGGTGATGGGTGAGCACAGGTCAGGTCCTGGTCTGTGGGAAGGATCAGAGGCTGGCATTATGAAGGTTCTCAACATCATGCCAAGGGGTGCCCAGATGGGTATGGGTGCCCAGAGCCCAGCCTTCACCTCTCCACCCCTCCACCGCAGCTCGGGTTCTGGGAGTTGGCACAGGAGCTGCTCAAGGAGATGCAAGCCAGTCCTCACTCTACAGTCCCACTGTCATATCAGGTGTCTGGTGTCCAGGCCCTGAGCCAGGCCAGTGGGGGTCAGAGAGAGAGAGACAGAATAAAGGGAGAGGGTCTCAGCAGGCAATCACCCTCAGCTCAACCAGCTCCATCCCCCAACCCAAATGAGTCGATTTGGGTATGGTCAGGAATTCTGTCTGGTGGCAGGTCAGATGCCAGCTGGGTCATGGGGAAACTGGGGGCTGGGAGCTGTGCAGGAAGAAAAGGAGCTTTTCAGAAGAGAAGGGAAGAAGTAGCACACCGGGGAAGCAAAAAGCAGCCTGAGCCCAGGCCTCAGGTTCCCTAAAAACTGAGGCAGGACTGGCCCGGCCCCATGGGAGGAGACAGGAGACATGAAGAGACTAAAAGTGGCAGTGCTTGGGGCTGAGGTGTCAACACGACAGTCTCATTCATATGGGCCCTGGGGGTTGGGCAGTCTGAGGAGCTAATGTCCCACCACCCAGGCTCACAGGGGCTTCCTGCCCCTGCATATCTGCCTGTGACCTAGGACAGCCTCAAAGGCTGAAGCAGGCACTCAGACCGGTTTCTCCTGCCCAGACACAAGATCTACTCTCGGAAGACAAAGCCCGTCTCCTTCTACACAGACATCATGTGTTTGGCCAAGTTATGGGGCTGTGAGGGCGAAACCAGGATGTGAGTGTCTGGCAGGGTCAGGGATGAGGGTGGTAGGGTGGCCTCCCCTGCACCCAACCTCATAGCAGTCATTCACACCAGGCTCTGCATCCCGTTCCTTTGCGCCTCCAAGCTCTAACTAGAGCCCTGGGACTCCCTTGTGCTGGCTACCAAATGCCCACCCCAGGCCTCACTTGTTACCTAGCCTGGAGGCTCAGGCCCAACAGAATAGCCCCCACTACCCTTTCTATGGTCCCCTTTCCCTCTGCTCTCTGCACTAACTCTGCTCTATCCTCCCATTCCTAGACCTCAGTTTACCTCTCTTGGAAGGTAAACCAGAGGTTCCATAGACATCCTTGGTCATAATTCAAAGGATGCTTATGTGACACACGAGACAGTACCGGGAGATATGCCTCTCCCCTTTGCCTCCCCCTGAACATTGCCAGGTCCCATGTGGGTCCTCCCTCCCTAGCAGCTCTGGGTCTGTCCTGAAATAGGGCAGTGCCCCCTAGGAAAGGGCTAGCTCATGCCGGAGAACCTACACTGCTGGGGTGGGGCTATCAGCCCTTGGTCCAGTCCCTGCCATGGTACTGGACCACTTTCCTTCTGTCCCCCAGGGTCCATCATACCACGCCCGTCATTAGCTTGTACTGCCTGAGAGAGAGCCTGGCACTCATTTCAGAGCAGGTGATGTGAGGGGCTGGGGCCAGGGAGATGGGGAGGCGGGGACAGGGTATGCCTCATACTGGGTACCTGTGGGAGGCTTCCTTTCCTATGATTCACTCAAACTACTCTGGGGAAATGAGACAAGAGGGTTCCTAAGAGAGCAGTGAGGCTGTTTGGTTTGTCAATGGGACCTGAGTGGGATGACCTGAGTGGGACCTAGAGCTGCTAGGGAGGGAGGACCCACATGGGACCTGGCAATGTTCAGGGGGAGGCAAAGGGGAGAGGCATATCTCCTGGTACTGTCTCATGTGTCACATAAGCATGGTGTAGCAGGAAAAGAGGACTTTTCCCGAAAGGGGACAGGGGAAGCTTGCTCCCTGCAAAGAGAATGGTAGACCACTGCTGTGGGCAGGCTGGGAGAACAGAGCAGGGGGAGTCTGAGAGAAGAGGTCCCGAGAACTGAGTGGGGGCCTCAGAGCGGGAGGTGTGGCTGGTAATCTTGGGGGCAGGGAAGAGAGCCAATAGGCGGCTTTCTCGGTCTATTTGTGTCACTCTAGCAAAAAGTCCCAGCAGAGGAATTTTTAGCTAAACTTATTTGGCTGGTTTTGGAGGCTGGGAAATCCAAGTTCAAGGCCATGGCCTACTTACTACATCATAACATGTCTGAAGGCATTGCATGGTCCAGAGTTAGACACAACAAGAATGGGCTACTTGGCTTTTTTTTTTTTAAGACAGGGTCTCATCTAGCCCAGGCTATCCTCAAACTCCATATGTATCTGAATTCCTGGCTGGCCTTGATCTCCTGATTCCCCTACCTCCACCTCCTAAGTGCTGGGATTACAGAAGTGTACCACCATTCCTGGCTACCTTGGGTTTCATTACAAACCACATAACAGTCAGACACTGGCCACCACCACCCATGGCCTTGCCCAGCACTGCTGGCCAGGGCAGTTCCACCTGAGACCTGGGGACACACCTGACCACAGCAGCACTCACCAGAATCAAGAAGAGGTTGGCACACCGCAGGCACGTGCAGCTTTCAGGACAGCTGTGTGTGAGACCAGGGCAGTGATTGCATCCAGTCAAAGTCCACTCTCAGGAAATGAAAGGCAAAGTGTGGCTCGAGCCCAGTTGGCCGTGTAGGTCACAGGACAGGAAAAGTGACCAAAGCCTGGTCACCTTCCTCTGGGCCCTGATGTTCCTCACAGACATTACCAGCCACAGAGGCCAGGAACAGCCCCTTAGGCTATGGCCACCATGCTTGGTCTTCCCTGGTCCATTCACAGAGTTGCTGCCTGAGAGCTGGGTTAGAGATAAGGCATCCCATGAATTGGATGGCCTCCCACACCCTGGCTATGGCTGTGTACTGGAGCTACATCTCTGAGGAGCAAAGGCTGAGCTGGGTAGGGAAGGAAGAGAGGTTAAAAGGGCAATACTCAGGAGGATGAAGCAGGATTGAGAGCTTGACCCAGCCTGAGCTACATAGTGTGACCCTTAAAAAGGGCAGGGAAGGGTCGTGGGAAAGGGGAAGATTCAGTGGACTCTGGTGGCATTTTGTCCTGTGGATCAGCCACCCTTAGCTACAAGTGAAGAGTACTTCCTGATGGGCAAGTTATGGCCTGGAGGGGCCCATGGGGCCTGGGTCGTGAGGACTAGTTACTAGAGGTCATGGGTCACATATCCTTAAAGTCCAGAACTGCAAGTGGGACCTCACTCCAACCACAACATCCCCATGTCCCCATGGGGCCAGCAAACCTCCCTCCCAGTAGAGCAATCTACTTCTTGTAACATGTCCTGCCTGTCTCCCCAGGGCCCGCTGGGTACTCACACAAGGCTAGTGCCCACCTCTCTCCCTCCCTCCCAGACCCAGAACCTTTCCTCCTGCCTCAAGCTGGCCCAGTCTAAACCCTCTAGTCTCCCCAAGACCTAGGCTTCCAGCAGTTGCCCCAGCACACCCACACTGTGAACCTCATGGTCTCTGCCACCTCAGGGAAGGGCTCTCACCTTGCCTGCCAGTCAGGCCCTTCCTCTCCCCACAGGGCCTGGAGAATTCCTGGCGGAAGCATAGAGAAACCACAATGTACCTGCACGATCGCCTACAGGAGCTGGGCCTGCAGCTCTTTGTGAAGGAGCCGGTGAGGAGCAGGGGGTGGGGGGTGGGGTGCCGAGTGAGCCAGGCTCTGGGCCAGTGGGGAAGGCAAGGCTGCAATCAGCTGGTACGATCAAGTGCAGTGTTTCAGTGGGATCTGAACACCCCCCTCCCGCAGCTGGAAGTGACTCAGGCACTTGGGAGTCTCCTGGTGGCTTCCTATCCCTGTTGGGGAAGAGACCCGCAGTAGCTGAGTGGCAAGTGGCTCTCCTCTGTAGTCTGAAGCCAGCACAGGTCAGGCAGCCTCTGAGCACCATCATGGAGGGTATGAATGACCCCAGCTCATGTGGCTTTATTGCAGGCCCTCCGGCTGCCCACAATCACCAGCGTGACAGTGCCGGCTGGCTACAACTGGAGGGACATCACCAACTATGTGCTTGACCACTTTAACATTGAAATCAGTGGTGGCCTTGGGCCCTCTGAGGGGAAGGTGAGGAGACTCATCAAAGGCCAGGACTCTGTGAGCTGAAACACAGTATACCCTATGTTGAGCCCCGCTACATACCCCACCTATGCTGGGTCACTCGTAGGGCCCAAGACAGCAGGGCCATCCTAGACAGAGTATCCTCGGCCCCTGTCACCCAGTGGTGAGATCATGTGTCAGCCTTACTAGGTCTACTCTAAGTGCCTAGTGACTCTCACTCATGCATCCCCGGAGTCTCAGGAAGGGCTGACTGTCCCTCAGGTGGTCTGCATGAGGCTCTCTCTTTCTTGCATACATACCAGATAGTGGTAGTGGTGACCCCATGGGGTGAGTGTACCCAGGTTCTGAGCAGCCCTTATCAGGGAAGGGGGGACACAGACAGAGACTGACATGCCTGTGCCTACCAGGTGCTGCGGATTGGTCTGTTGGGCTGCAATGCCACCAAGGAGAATGTGGACCGCCTAGCTGAGGCCCTGAGGGAGGCACTGAAGCACTGTCCCAAGAACAAGCTATGATCATCCTCTCTCTAGGCCACGCCCTCCTGGAGAGGCTGGAAACGTGGAAGGGACCAAAAGGCTGCAAGGCCACCAGGCCTAAGAAACAGCAGAGCCGCTGGCCCTGCATGCAAGGCGGGCGGGGGACAAGGCAGGGCTGTCCCTCCCCAAGTGGGACCTCATCTAAGACCTTATCACCTTCCTTCCAAAGGAGCTACAGTCTGCAGGCCAGTAGGCTTTGGGAACACCCAATAAAGTACTGACCAGACATCTCTTACTGTGCGGGCTGGCTGTGGAAGAGTGACCAGGGGCCCTCTGCTGCCCACTCTGCTCAGTCTGGCTCTTTGAAGGGGGCTGTGGGCAGATCCTTCCCCAGGGCTGAGAGTTCTGTCACTTCACTCTGGCTCTAGATGTCACACCCCAAAACATACCCTTACATGTAGTTCAAGTGAACCCATAAGAAATCCCGTTCACACTAACAAGATACCAATGAACACATGCCCCCTCTGCTTGACCCCAACTCTTCACTTCTGGCCAAGTTGTTTGTTCTGGGCAGCTGGTCCTGAGAGCCCCAGGCAGGAAGACTGGAGAGTCTCCCCTCTCATCAAGTTGTCAGTACCAATGCACCCCTGAGCAGAGCAGGTTGGCCTGGCTACATCCCTGCCCCTGATGCAACTGGTCACAATTGTGTTCTGGATTAGGGCCCTGAGCCCACAGAGGCTGGTACCCTATGGTTTCTGGTGACTAGAAGAGTTATACCTGAGGGAACACACAGACACACTCACAGCAGAGCTGTGATTGGTGCCAGATGGAGACCAGGAATAGGAATGGGCCTCTTGGAGAAGAGTCTGGAGAGTCCAGGACCCAGAATTCCCAGGGCTCCATGGCCACGTGGAGTATGGCCTTTGTCCAAAGTGCAGTCTTGTCTTGGTTCAGTCTCCCAAGATGCAGGCACTGAGGTGTAGAAGTGGTTTGTCTAGGAGGGGACCCAGGAATCACCCAATGGAAAGTCCCCGGCTCTGATCCCACAAATTAGCTCGGTGGCACCAACACACACCTTTTCTACTGCCCATTTGTGCCAGGCATCTCAGAACTTCATGCACATGTGTGCCCGCTTGTCTTTGCTTGTGTGACACTGTACAAATTCTGTTCCTTCACCTGCTGGAATTCATTTCCAGCCTGGGGCTCTGATGAGTAGGGAGGTAGGAGCCTCCTGATTCAAGGCTGTATGCTTTCACTTTTCTTGGGTAAATGACAAGGATTTCAGAGTCACAGGTTGCCCTGACTAGAAGACGGTTTGCACAAAAGCTTCGGACATGCTACAGGTTCCTGTTGCCCTTTCACTCAGGCCGCTATGAAATTGTTAGTTAATTCTGACTTAGTTAGAATGTGCCCTCCCCCGTGATTGACGGTACCCGTACCTTTTCATGTGCTGTTGGCCAGCTGCACATCTTTTCAGAGTTTAAATATTTTTCTTGTTACATGAACTTTTCATCTTTTGGTTGCTGGTTTGTAAAAGCCTTTGAGTTGTGGTTGTTATTGGTTGTGTGTGTGTGTGTGTGTGTGTGTGTGTGTGTCTGTTGTGTGTTCATGTGTGTAAACGAGGTACAGTTGCCCACACAGGCCCATGTAAAGGCCAGAGGTCAACGTCTAGATGTCATTCTACATTGTTCTCCACCTTAATTTTTGAGACAGGGCCTCACACTGAACCTAGAACTTGCGTTTTGACTAGGCTGGCTGGCAGCAAGCCCCTATCTCTGCCCTTCCCTCCCCACACCACTAGGATTACAGGCATGCACGTTAAGCCTAGCTTTTATGTGGGTGCTGGGTATCCAAACTCAGGTCCTTATGCTCAGCAAGCACTTCACCCACTGAACCACCTTCCTAACCCTGTGATAGTTTTTCTTTTTTTTTTTGAATCGACCTAATCAGAAGTTTGTGTCCTGAGTGTTTTCTCCTTCGTGGCACCCCTAATCATGGCTCTGATGAGTAGGTGTGCTTAATTTTGGCATAGTCCTGTGGCTTTTCTTTCTATGATCTGTGCTATTTGTATCTTGTGCCAGAAGTCTTTCCTACTCAGGGGGCTGTGACACATCTTTCTATATTTTCTCCTGGAGCTATGGTGTGTCTATGACCTGCCTACATTAATTGTGTGTGGAGTGGACATGGGGCAAAGTACATTTTTACCCTAGCGGTACCCAGTTGCCCCAGCAACCTTGTTAAACAGACTTTGCTTTCTCCATTCAGTTGACCTGCCAGCCTGGCAAAAATCATTGACTACGTGTGCGTGGGTGGATTTCTGGCCTCTGATCCACTCTGCCTGCATTCGGTCCTAAGGGCTGCAGCCACCAGTGAGTCTTGATATGCAGTTTTCCCTCACACTGACCTTCCTTATCCTAAATTCTTTGTTTCCCACATAAATTTCGAGCTTGTTTTATCTGTTTCTACAGAAGAGCTTGCTGGAATTTTGATAGAAATTTATCAAATATCAGGCTAAAAACAATAGGAATCTTCAAAATATAAATTCTAATTCATGAGTATTAATTTAGATGATTTTAAATTTCTCTAAGTTTTTATTGTAGATGTCTTACATGCACCTAGGGGTCTTTATTCCTAGGGGTTGCTATTTTGTTGATATTACAAACGGTATTTCTTTTTTTAAAAAAATATTTTATTATTTTTATTTTATATGTATGAGTGTTTTGCCTGCATGTAAGTGTGTCATGCAATGCCTGCAGAGGTCAGAAAAGGGTGTCTGCCTCTGCCTCCTGAGTGCTGGGACTAAAGGCGTGTCCCACCGTGCCCAGCTGATATGTTTTTTAATGTTAACCTTGCATCTACTGGCCCTGTTAAGTTCACAGCTCTAGTGATTTCCTTGTAGATTGCTCTGCATTTTCTAAGTACTTACCTGAGTTGCCTGCGAGTGACAGCAGGTACCCTTTCCAATGCTCATCCGTTCTTTGATTTTCTTGCTTACCTCTCTGCACAGGTGAGGACCGAAAATACCAAAATGCAACGGTGAGAGTAAGCGCTCCTGCCCTGGAGAACGTTTAATGTTTTAATTCTCATTTATTTGTTATTAGTGTGTGTGTATGTGTATGACAACTGTGTGTGACTATGGCTACAAGCGTGCCACAGTACACACATGGAGGTCAGAGGACAACTTTTGGGAGTTGGTTCTCCTTCCTTCTACCATGGGTTTGATTTATGAGTGAGGCCAGCTGAGGCTTTCCATGATTCCTGCCTTTCCCAGTTTGCTGAGTGTACCCTAGGCACGGTGCTCACAGCACCTTGATTCCTTACCGCTGCGCAGTATTTCTTGGTGAATTTCATTTTCTGTAACATGTTTGCTCGATCTCGGTATTGAGGTTATGATTTGAGCAGCATTTCCTCCTCCTTTGTCTTCTGATAAAGTTCACTTAGAACTGGAATTATTTTCTTTCCCTTGTATATTCGGTAGAATCCAACAGCCCAGTATTCGAGAACTTTATGGAATTTATTTAATGAATTTTTAATGGACCCCTTCTTCCTTCCATTTGAGACAGAGTCTCTGTATGTGGCTCAGGTTTGCCTCAAGCTCACAATCCTCCTGCCTCAGCCTTCTGAAACTGCTTAGACGTGGGGCTCTTTAGATTTTTTATCTTCTTATTGTGTCCGTTTGGGTAACCCGTGCGTGTTTGCTTTCACCCGGGCTGTTGTTGACTACATTGGTGTGAAGTCGTTTACAGTTGCTCTATCGTGTCCATGGGGTCTGTAGTGATTTCTGTTTCTTCACGCTGACATTTGTGATTTATATTTTCTCCCTTTTTTCTGTTGATCGGCCTTGATGAAATGTGTTAAATTTACTAGTCTTTCAAAACACCAGTGTCTGCCTCTGTTGTTTTTTCTCTATTGTTTGTCTAGATTTCTATTCTACAATCCTCTTATTTGACATCCTTTGGTCTTATTCTTTTTAACTGCTTTTTCACATCTTTATTTATTCTACTTTGTGTGTGTGTGTGCCACAGCATGTGAGTGAAGGCCAGAAGACAATCTGTGGGAGTCAGTTCTCTCCTTTTACCATGTGGGTTCTGAGACCTGAACTCAGGTCATCAGGCTAGGCAGCAGGCTCCCCTATCTACTGAGCCATCTCTCTAGCCCTCCTCTTAAATTATTGACATATTCATAATTGTCATGGAATATTTGTCCATATCCTTGTGAGATGCTCCTGTTTTTCTAGCTTCTTACAGTGGAAGCTTGGTTAGCTGATTTTTAAACACTCAGAGGTAGAGGCAGGTGGATCTCTCTGAGTTCAAAGCCCACCTGGTCTACATAGAGAATTCCAGGACAGCCAGGGTTACATAGTGGGACAGATCTCAAAAGTAAAATTAATGTCCCCTTGGCCTTTCCTGTGCTCGCAGTCCTTGTTTGTGCCTAGTACAACCATCCTGGTTCACACTCATTACTAATGAGGTGACCAGGGTGGGCCTAGGTCCGTTACAAACCCCATTTCCAGGACAGCATAGCATTTCTCGTCTTCATCCAGCTTAGGCCCTGGTCCCACAGTCTTCAGAGGCCCTGGGCATATGCTGTCATTGTGTGGCTACTCTGACACATGCCATCAGTCCTTAGAGGACACTCAGGGCACTGGACGTCCTGTACACATGTGGGACCGTAGGTTTCCTCCCTCGGAGCCCGGGGTACAGGCTATAGATCTGAAGCCAAAAAGACAATAGAAGACAGAAGATATTCCTAGGCTGGGGTTCACAGAGGCCCCTGGGCTACAGGCAGGTTGCTATGGGCTGATGAGAGGTTATGTATATGGAATACAGGAAAGTGCAAACGGGTCACTTCTGTTGATAGGGAAGAAGGTAGAACCAGTATGTGGGAGAGGGATGTGGAACTGTGGTATTCTCTCTGCTGGCTTCAGTTCCCCTGAATTAAGGAGTAGGGACATCTGGCCAGAGGAGAGATTCTCTACCTGATGGTGGAGAAGGTTTGAAATCATTCATTACACATGAGCCTCTCACAGTCTTAGGTTTCTGTATTTTCACTGAGAGGTACAGAAAGTGGAGGACCCTCTCCATGGGGTATACTGGGCCATCACTTTGTTCAGCACTAGGTACAAAGTATTTCATCCCCAAGGAGTGGTATGCAACACTGGTAGAGACAAGCCCCCCACCCCCCCGCTCCAGTCTCATGCCCATACCAGCTCTGCTCAGTGTCACACAGATGGATCAATGTGTTCCAGGAAGCACATACCTGTCCATCTCAAGTCCTCTATCTGGAACATGGCAGCTGCCTAAGATCCCATCGCCTGGTACCCAGACTCTCACAGCTGTCCCATGAACAGGAGTCCATCGGAACTAAGTCCCCCCACCACTCACTCAAAGAGACCTCCCCACTATACACATTTCTTCTCCAAGAGTTCCAGGAGCCTCTTCAGGGTGACAGAGACTAGGCAGCCCAGTCCAGCTCAGCTGTTCTCGCTGCCCAGGGTCTTGGTCTTCTGGAAGATGTTCTGCATGGCTGTGATGCGGTCCTTATCCTGGATGTTGAATACCTGGAACTGCAAGTGGGCAAGGACAGAAAGTCACAGACAGCTGGGCCACACCTATCCCAAGCATCACAAGGCTTAGATCTCTCTGACCACTCTGTCTCTGGGTGTCTACCTGGGCAATCATCCCTGCAAATGGACCACTCCAGCATCCCTCCTACAACAGCCCTGTCTCACAGATGGCCCTGGCACAGGCATGACCCCTGACCCCTGACCCACACAGATCTGCTGAGAGTCTGGCATAGGCCCATCACCCTGGCCTGAAGATAGAGTGACAATTCTTGAGTGGTGGTGGTTAGACTATCAGTTCTCCGTGAGGTGGGGCTTCACCAAGATAAAATGGAGAAAACCAGCACCACGGTGGCCACCCCAAGTCTCACTACTACTGAAACAGGGAGAGGCAGCTGGATGTCTGAGAGCAAGAAATGTCAGACATGGCTTGGAAGCAGCGGTATTTGTGACTGGGGTAGGGGTGAGTGCTGGCCTTTGTGCCAGGTGGGTGTGAGGACCAACCTTTTCAGGGGAAAGGTGAGCTCTGTAGGAGTGGGAGGGGTAACTGGTAAAGTAGCAGACACCTCTAAACAGCAGGTCATAGAACACAAGGTCCACAAGGGCATGACCACTGGACTCCAAAGTCCAGAAATACACAGGAAACTGACCCCAGGACACCTAGGGAAAGTTACAGTCCTAGAGAGAAGTAGGTTTCTGGGCATTTGCCCTCTGTGTGGCTTAGGGTAATTCTGTGGAACACAGGCAGTCTCGGACACTCTTCCCCAGCTCCCAAAGAAGAGTCCTGCACCTGTGGAGCCTCTTTTGAGGGGGCCCTCAAAACCTGGCCGTAGTTGTCCTTCTGCTCCTGACCTGGGAAGGAGTGACTGGGGTACAGGACTAACGCTCTGTGCACGCCCTCGTGCAGCTGCGCCCACCTTGTCCAGCAGAACATCAAAGTAGGCAGTGGTCCAGTAGGCACGGTCACTGGCAGGCAGCTGCAGGAGTGCCTTGACTCCATTGCCGATGCGTGGTGGACGGCCGGGGCTCAGGTGGGTGACATGGATACGCAAGGACTCCTCGGGTTGACTAGCAAAGCGCTCCACACACTGATAGATGGCGCCAAGGTCCAGGCCACTGTCCTGCAGCAAGTTGCGCTCCGGGTAGAGGAAGTGTGGCAGGTCTCCAGTGGCCAGGCAGCAGAGCAGCACCACCAGCAGGCGATACACAGCACCCTGCAGGTCTGCCCAGTCCTCTGGCGCTGGGAAGAGCACAGAGGCCCACAGCAGCACTGTCTGTGGACAGAGCCAGACTTGTCTAGGGGTGGCTGGGCCACTCCCCCACCACCTGCCTGGCCATGTGCTCCATACCAGCCTTTCCCACTAGCCCCTCTCCACATTTTTCCTACCCTGGCAGCTTCTGAGGCTCTCAGCAACCCTCTGCTCCTCCATCCCCTGTGGGCCTCTCCTAATCTGGACGTCAGAACTCCATCAGCAGTATGTGATGCCCCCTCCATCCCTGAAGCTTTCCTTCATGCTTCTCCACTGACCTTCAACTCATTTTCTGCAGCCCAACCTGAAGGACCCATCCCAGGGCACTGGGTAGCCCCTTCCCTCCTGCCCTGAGGCCCTGACCAGACACTTCCACTGTGGCTCAGCTGCATTTCTGCATCCTCAGGCCCTTTCCTTCCCCAGGACTTCTCAGTTCATTTGGGGACTGGGACCCTCTGTGCATGAGACCCCAAGCAACCACGGGAAACTGGACCTCTACCTCAGGCAGAAGTCTGAGAGGGAAAGGAACGGCCCAAGTTCACACAGGGGACTGACTCTCCACAGAGTCGTTGTTTGATGACAGGCCAGACCACATTCCCAGGGGACCCTGAGACTCTACAGTCCCCCCAGTTTCTCCTCACTGCCCTGTAGGCTGGGGTGGACAGATCCTCCTCTCCTCCCCCTCACATTCTTCTCGTTTATAACAGCACTGGACCGTTATAAAACCCTGACAGGACATGGCTGTTCCAGAGTATCCAGTCCCTGGGTACACAGAAAGGGAGCCTGCACTCCCATGGGTGCTGGGTTAGCTCCAGTTCATAGGAAGACCTGGCCAGGGATGTTCACAAATATAGAGAGGAAACGTGCTGGGGAAAGACCCAGCCCGGTGTCACCCAACCCCCAAGGTCTGATCCAACCATGTACCACGTTGACAGGGCCTCCAGGTCACCTGCCCAGGAATGGCCAAGGCCAGCCTGATGTGCCATAGCACTCAGCAGCCATGTCTATGAGACCTGCCTCAGGAACCATGGCCTCTTCTCAGGGGGATCCTGGAATCCTTCCAACACCTGTGACTGACTATTGTAGGAGCTGATGTAAGGGACACACCTGGCAGCCCCTGCCCTCTGCTGCCTGGTCATAGATGTGGGCACCAAAAGCAAGTAAGGCAGGTGGTGAGCTACCATGCATACCTTCAGGTGGTCGAAGGTCAGGCCGGGACTCTGGCTACCGCCACGCCAGCTCTCTAGGTTCACCCGGTCGAGGATGGAGAGGCTGTCCAGGCGGTGGCCAGGGAGGGAGCCTAGTACACCAAGCAGGCGGCTGAGCAAGTAGCCAGTGGAAGTCCTGGAAGCCAGACCCACTCATCAGATCTGGGGTTCTCGGTGCCCAGCACCCCATATATCCCCAGAACGAAAAGTCTGGCTGCTGTAGCTCCCCAGTACTGGAACCTCCTGTGCCCCTATGAAGGTCACATCCTAATTGTGACCATTCTATGCCCCGCCACGCACACACACTTGCCGTCTCTCGGGAGTTCACTTGGTATCTAGCTTGAACATCTAGGTTTCAGAGTCCCCATCCAGAACTGGGGGGATGCAAGGATGCCTGTGCCAGCCCATCCTTTATGTAGACGGGGGCTTGGTGGAACCCCAGCCTGGCAGGAGGCATGGGCTCAACCCCAGGGCTCATTTGGGAAACTCAAGCCTGCCCCCACAAACAGCCAGAGAACAGCCAACAGCAGCAGATCTCCCCACAGAGCACTGCACACCTCTAGCTCCTCTCACTGCATGCTTGCTGGACCACCAAAGGATAGGACCCCTGCTCCTTGTGGGTCTCAGTCTTGATGGGTCAGCCACCCCACACTGGTCTTCAGGGGCAGAACACTATTTTCTCTTCTTTACATAAAATGGCTCTGCTTGGCCCAACCTTTCACCTACCTGCCTGACACAGGCACTGCTCTGTGTGAAGTGGTCAGGGGCAGGAGGTGGCAAAGGGCTCTGCTAAAACTTCACAAGGGCACAACAACTTCATAAATGCTGTCTGTCGGAGGAAGAATTCGGCTCCAAAAGGGCACCACCTCAGGGACCTCACAAGTCTCCTGCCACGGCCTTGTATGTGGGTCCCAGTCCATGGTGTCAGACTCAGACTTGGGTAAGACCCAGGCCCTGAGTCCTGGTTTGGTCTCAAGGGGCTCAGCTTCTGCTCCATTCATTCTCACAAACGCTGATGTGGTAGCAGGTGGCCCTTACTGAACTCAGGCATCTGGGACCCAAGGAAGTGAGGGCTAGAAGGGGAGGGGAACATCTGTAGCTAAATATCCTAGGTGGAGGGACCTTCTGGGAGAAGCTCTGCAGGCTGGCAAGGACACCCCAAGAAGGTGCTAGTAAGTCCCAGAGTTAGTTTCACTGATCTGACCATCCTCACTGTGTGGGGACCTTAGACAGCCTGGACATGCTATCTGCTGATGCTTAGCTGGACCAAAGGAAGCAGGCTGGTGGTGAAGGGCTCCCTCCCACACCACCTTCCTCTCTGCCTCTCTCATCACAGTCTGATGCTACTGGCTACCTCCTATGCAGGAGAGGACCTGGCTGTGCCCTCCCTGCAGCCCCCATGAAACACTGAACATCAGAATTCCTCCAGAGACCCCAGTAACCTCAGCAGGACATGCTCATAGAGCAGAGGCAGGCTGGGACCCCTCCTGCCTGAGGCTCAGGGAACATCAGAGTGTGGCCCCCTTCATGAGGGACCCAGAAACCCAGAAGGGGTGTCTACCTCCAGTGCTGGCCACTAGCGGGCACCAAGTCCACCCCATGACTGGCAATTCTTCTCAAGGTGCCCTCAGGGAATCCAGGCTCCAACTGGGATCCTTCCAAGGTGGGCACCTGGTGCTTCTTCCTCACCACGGGCACAACGTTGAAGCGGATCTTCCTCCAGCCACTGGACACCAGCAGGGACAGGCGCAGTTGCCCTTCCTTCAGGTTGGCAGCATTCAGCGAACCTGCAGTGACCAACCGTCAGTCCCGCCGCCCTCTTCTGGATCCGAGCCTACCTTGGTCCAGGGCACACTGTCCTGCAGCTACTGCCCCTCTAAGTACACTCCAGGACAGGGTTAGCCCTGCCAGTCCAGGAGTTACGGCTGAGCCCTGACACAACCCTGCCCATGGAATACCTGCCAGTCGAGCTATGTCACAACATCTTTCCCATCAATGGCTTCTTTCACAAACCTCCTCTTTGCTAGGCCCCTCCCTGTCTTATGAGCTGAACCTGCTGCCACACCTGGGTCTGTGAGCTCTATCCACTGCCTGTGACCAGGTCACACCTCTGCCCGTGTTCAGCCCTATTCAGTGCCCAGGCTGGAGCCAGAAGAGCCCTGGTCCTTAGCAGCACCAGAAGGTATGGATGGCACTGCCACAGTCCCAGAACTCTTAAAGCTGAGGCTCAGCAAAACAGGGTTCCTGGACTTCTCTTGAGCCCACCTGGCCTTCTGTTCAGAACCAGGCAGCTCGGAACCTGCAGCCCTTTGCTGGAAAGCCATGAAAAAGATGCCTGATTGCTCTACCTGTAATTTTCTCAGTCTTTAGGAAAAGCTAAGGGGTGCTCTCAGGCATAGCACCTCAGTCCAGGGACCGTGTACCCTCAGACACTGATAAATCTAAAGGACAGCTTCTGGCTACAGTGCCACCTGTAGTATCTGGAGACTCATATCCTTCCTGCAGGCAGCCGTGGCCAGAGAAGACAGATGGACATGACAGCTCAGCTATGATCCAGTTGCTAGGATCCAGAAGGCCAGGATAAGCCTGGCCACTCTGCATAATAAGGCCTACATCTACTCATACTGCAGAATCTGGCCACCTCTATCACCCTGTGGCTGACACATTCTGACCAAGAGACTTCTTGATCCTCTCCTCATTGAGACCCCACCCAGGACTCGTGGCCCCGTCATGGAGCCCCACAGGCCACACAGGAGGGAACAGTTCAGGAGTAGCAGGTTAGGGATTGGTGTGCCCAGGAGCCTCTGGCCTTCTGCCTCAGTCCAAAACAGATCAGTGTCAGAAATAGTGAGGGAGATCACAGAAACACCCACACCATCGTACAGGCTCAGTTCCCACCCCAGCACTGTTCATTGAGGGGTCTAGACAGGAGGCCCAGGTGGCTCATCCGACTGTGAGTTAGGTGTACCCCAAATAGAATTCCCAACACAAGCCTTGGAGCAGGGTCTCCATGGCGAGAGAGCTTAGGGACAGCCTATGGGAAGGAGCCTGGCTTCCTTGTGTGACCCTTCAACACTCACCATCTTCAGGATAGCTCTTAGGCAACCTCCTAAGATTCTTCAGTTCACATGGGCCTCTGTTTGCACATCAGCGAAGGGGGACAGGAGGGACCCCAGGCCCCACTCAGCTCAGCACTTAAGTGTCTCCTTGTAGTCTGTTGGTCACACATTTTATCTGTGAAATGGCAGCTTGGAAGACAGCCAGCCACACCTGTGTTCACTGGGCCACCTTCTAAGGCAGCCCTGGCTGGTCTCACCAGTTCCAGGGAGAGGGCAGCTGAACCCTGTCACTGGCAATGGCTTCTCTTTTAAGGCAGCTGCTGGAAGCAACTCCCTGGAATTTCCATAGGCCCAGTTCAACCATGACAGCAGGCGTGGTCCTGGACTCTGGGGTCTCCTTTCTCAACCAGGAGGCAACCTGAGCATGCAAGATGGAACCTGAGCAAGCTTAGATGATCCCTGATGGCCCCAGAACCTAGGGGCAACCTAGTTACCCCAAAAGGTAGCTCTATGCCTCAGTGAAGTAGTGGACCTTCAGGAGACAGGGCCAGGTGGAAATGGCCATGTTTGGTTAAGTGAGAGGGCAGAAATGGTCCTGCTAAGTCACATGCTGAATTAGAGGGTTCAGGAGAGTACCAGATAAAATGTCTCAGGGGCTACAGGACACCAGACACCTAATGATAGGCTCCAGCCACCTGAGAGGACAGTTTCCTGCCCAGCAGGTCTAGGAGGGGCTGCCCTCCTGGTGTTGAAGCCCAAGGGTCTTCTGGACCCTGCAGCCCAGCTTGCAGCCCAAGTGCCCTTCTGTGTGGTCTCCTGGGCACCCTTCCCCAGAGCCTTCAGAAGCATGACAAGAGTCCTGCTATTCCAGGTCCCAAGAACCCTAGACATGCAGCCTGACCAGGGCTCCACATACTGGAGATCCCGGCATGTCACTGACCCTCTGGGAGAGGCAATCACCCTTGCTGACCTCACAGTGAGAATACCAGGGAGACGACTTGGGAAGGCAAATCTGTGTGAGGAAGTGGCAGCTATCACCATGTATGTCCCCCTCCTCCCAAGAAAAGCAGGACATTCTTTCCTGGTCTCCAGTGCCTGGCAGGACAACCTGAAGTCCTGGTCCTGGCCCCAAGAGGATGAGCCTCATCACTTAGGGTCCTCAATGTCCTGGCTGCTCACAGATTGCACCCACCCTTCCAGCCACCTTTGCAGAAAGAAACTAGCTATTTCTGACCATGCTGAGAGCCCTGCCTACCTGGCGTTCTGACATTACCGATCACATCAGCAAAATGCCAGACAAGAGACTGAGGTTGGGTTCCTGGCACACAGGTCCCCAGGCTCAGCGGCAGCTTACGTTCAACGCACAAATTAGCAACTCAGTCACAAATTGGAGTAGACATATGCAGAGGTGTCCATATGTAGGAAAGCATGCATTTGCAGTGTACACTCACATGCGCACAGATGCACACTCTATTCACTTTTGTGTGCATACATATGTATGCACACTCACATGTGCCTCCATTCTTCCACATATACATTCACACACACACACACACACACACACACACACACACACACCCTGACACATTATGACTAAGGCCAAAATGGGGACAGCTGTGAACATCATCACAACGGCTGTGACAGGTGATAGACCAGTTGCCCAGAACTCTGCCAAGGCCTCTATCGAGCAAGTCAACCAGCAAAACAGGCTGGTCTAAACAATCGGTCATTACAAAGTGACACTCGTAAAAATGCCATTCCCCAAATCATCAGGCAGAAACGTGAGCTTCATAATCTGCTTTCTCAGAGATGCTTGGGGGACAAGGAACCAGGTCTCCTGACTCACAGGCCCTCAACATACATTGACAAGACACACTGCACTTGTATGCACCGGGAATGCACACATAGAGACATGTATGCAGCCCCCACAGCCAGTCACTACCTTGGACATTCTGAAACAGTGCACGCACATACACACACACACACACACACACACACACAGGCACGCACGCACGCACACATGCACGCACGCAAACACGCACATGCACACTGCACACGTTTGCAGAGTGGCCCCCGCCACTACCTGGGGGGATGACGCTGTGGTGTTTACAGTGCACAATGGCGGCCACCAGAAGGTCTTTGAGGACACGCAGGACTTTGCTGGGAACAATGTGGCCACAACACTTGTCACTGCCCTCTGAGGAGGCGCTGAAGACATCATCGGTCATCCATGACTCCAGGACAGCTGCTTCCTTAGGGACACCAAGGCGACAGATTTCAAAGCCATCCCCTGGCTCGGTGGCCTCAGGCTCCTCAATCAGAAGAGCTTCGGCGTCCACTCGCAGGGGCACCTCCACGTCCAGTGGGTCCTCTGAGGAGCGCAGTGCAAACTGGAAGGCCTCCAGGTCTCGGGAGTAGTCCACGAGGAAGCGGGGGTCCAGTGTGTGCACATGTTCCAACACCGTGAGCAGCACGTTCTCTGCTCTCTGGTAGTCCTGGACACGGGGTGCCTCCCGTGACTGGATGGCCAGTAGATAGTGATGCCACAGGGGCACCTGATGGGCCACGGCCGAGGCCAGGGCACAGGTGGCAAACATCGCCTGAGCAGCTGCAGTAGGCCCAGGGCTGGTGTGGTCTGGCTGGGAGGAAGAGGTACCTGCCCAGGTGAGGAACAGGTCTACAGGTGGGGCTCAGTTCTTCATGGGCAGAGTTCCAGAATGACAGGCTCTGTGCAGCAGGTTAAATAGCTGAGCCAAGGCCAAGGGCTTTGAAGTGGAGTGAGTCAGTACCTAACAATTAGGAATGTCACAGGAGGCTGTCCACAGAGGCAGAGGCCCAGCCTGCTCACCATACTCTTCCTCCCCCTCCATCCCGAATCAGACTCAAGACACAATGGCCTAACCTGGAAAGGAGGCTGTGTGCTGATGCTTCATATCCCACCCCAGCCCAAAACTGGGCACAGTGTCTCTGTGAAACGTCTTCCCTGCCCAAGCTCCCCACCAGACTGGGGGCACACAGGTGTCCCCAGGGCTCAGAAAGGGCAATTACAGCCAGATGCTTTGTGGGTCCTGGCCTCTCTGAGGCAGCCTGGAGAGCAACAAGCCTCGGGCCAGACACCTGTATGTATCAGCCCCACCCTCCCACCCCCCACTTGCCGTCTACACAGTTGGTCAGCTCTGGCCACTCAGGCTGCCCACCCCGCCCCTCCAGCCTCCCTCTCAGAGGAGCCAGCACCCACCTCACCAGGATCTGTCCCTGTTGTGTTCTAGGGGAAGCAGTCTCTGGCTCCGCCTCATGGCTGGAAAGTCTCACCCTATAGGCCCCTCAACACCTGCCAGTGCCCTGCCCACCCGCCTCCTCCCTGCTCAGTGCTGTGCAAGCCCAGACTGGCAGGAAGGAGCCACCCCTAGCGACCCTTGGCCCCCAGTGGAAGCCATGCACAGAGGCAGCTCAGCTTCTGGTCTGCAAACAGCTACAGGGTGATGGCTCCACACAGGCACCTTCTCTGCAGCCATCCCACATACAGCCTCAGACCCCAGGAGCTGCACTGAGTCAGAGCTACCAGATGGTGGGGTAGGAGACCCATTCAGTTCAGCTGCTTAGAGGCTTGAGGGGCTGTGGCCTGAAAGCCTTTATCAGCCTCCATGGGCAGAGGCAAGTGTCCCTGCAGTCTGGTTCAGCCCTGTGTCGGAGACTACCCAGCATGCAGCTGCCCCTTAGTTGCTCAGGGTCCAGAGCCCTGGCTGCCTCTGTGCCCTGCACACGGCCTTTGCTGTATCCCCCCAGCTCCACAACACTGCGGCCTATGAGAGGTGGGCCGTGCAGCCCTAGACAGCTTAGTGTTGACCCTCAGCCTTGACAGCAGGGTCAGACAGTTCCTACCTCGTTCATAACCTGAGCTTTCACAGTCTTGCTCTCCTTACATCACAGAAGTCTCTTAAAGTCACCTAGAGACCCAACCACGACCCCCTTTGATTAAGGTGCTGCCAAAACTCTTCACCCTCTAAGGCTGGCCTTCCCCGCAGTATTAGCTCCCTTCACTCCTGTCTCCCGGAGTGCCCAGCAGGACAGGCCTCTGTCTTTCCTCATTTGGCTCCTCTGGAGGGTAATAAAAGCTTGGTGGTGGCTAGCTTCCCATGGTCAGCCTCTTCCTCTGTGTGTCCCATATCTGGGATTGATGCCCACATATGGAATAGACAGCACTGGAGGAGGTGGACAGTAGGGAGCTGGACTTGGGCTCTGCCTGAACCTGCAAGGACATCACAGGGAGATGACAGAGAGAGAACAGAGCTGCTGGTCATGGAGACACAGTAACTGCCCTGACCAGCCAGGCAGTGTTTGACCATGAAGGAACCTGTAGGAAGTAACCAGGCCCATCACCCTGCAGAGCCCAAGGGGCAGTGGGTAGAGCATGGAGTGGATGGAGGGGACAGTGAAGCCAGAGTGGTCAGCGTAACTGGCTGATCCCATGGGTTCCACAAGGCCTTGGTGACCCAACCACACCACAAATGTGTTTGTGTTGATTCAACATCTCAGTGTAGCACAGGGACAAACACACCAATCCTGTATTTCAGGAATTCCCAGGTACCCTGGGAAAGACTGGCAGGGAGGGGACGTACCAGGTAAATAGAGTCCATGAAATGGATCTCTGAGAAGTGTAAGGTGCAGGACCCACACTGCCTCAACATTTCACACGTGGCCTGGTAGCAACAGACGCTGCTTGGCTATTGCTTAGAGCCGGTATATGAATTCCTTAACCTGCTCTCCACAGCAGACTGAGTTCCAGGGCACAGATACTAGAAGCCACAGGTCAAGGTGCCAATGGCTAAGCTCCCTCCAGAGGCTCCAGGGGAGTAGTGTGCGCCTCTTTTGGCTCTAGCTGCCTTAGTGGTGTCACTCTGTCTCTGCCCTCGTCTTCAGGAGGTCCCTCCCTGTGTTCCCCTGGCTTCTGTTTATCTCTTGGGACAGTTGAGATGGTACCCAGGGCTATCAGATAAAGTCCCCAGGCCTCACTCTTACATTGTGAGGGCTATACCCAGACTCTGGCACTGTAAGTGGCCATATTCCAGTCTGCCACAGTAGGCGTTCCCTGTACCACCACACCTCTGCAGATGCAGCCACCTGGGTTCTACAGGTACCATCCTGGGTGGCCATGTGGACTCTCCAGCCCACTTGCCTGAACCACTATTATTATGTCTCCATTGGGCAGTTCTGTGCAACCTCCACAGTTTGTAACAATGACCAAAGAAGAGCAGGGTGTGGTGGCGCACACCTGTAGTCCCAGCACTCAGGAGGCAGAGGCAGGCAGATCTCTGTGAGTTCAAGGCCAGCCTGGTCTACATAGTGAGCTCCAGGCCAGCCCCCACTACAGGGAGACTCTATCTCAAAAAAACAAAACAAACAAACAACAAAAAAAAACCCAAAACAAAAAACAATGACCAAAGGAAGCACACAAGACAGCAGGTACCAGCTGGTCAGGAGGAAGGTCAATTGAATCTACACTCATGGGGCCTTAGGAAGAACTCCTCCTCTGTGGTGAGCAGTGATCTTTCTGGAATACTGCGGTCCAACAGGACCCATATGCAGAGTGGCTGCTGTCAGCTACACCTCCAGTGTAGACACAGAAAATCAGGTCCCGGGGCAGATGTGTTCAGAGGCCCTCTCTCTCTGGCTCAGGGAAAGTCACTGCCCTTTCTGAGCATGAAGTCCTTGACAAAGAACAAGGCCATGTGAGATGTGCTTCCAGCTGCCTCCACACTGACAGTACCCGACAGATTCTCAGCCACCCAGAGCCCAAAGATCCTTGACGTAGGCACCTCTCCTGGGGAAGGAAATGTTCACGCTGAGATGGGCAGCCCAAGATCTCAGATGGAATGGCTGTCAGGACTTACCACACTGGATAAACCCAAGTCCCCACTCCTAGCCTGTGCCCAGTCCCTGTCCCTGGCATCATGGTCTAACTCCAGGGTGTGTGACTGATAAAGAATGGGGTGCCCAGCTAACTTAGGGTTACTCTGAGATGCAAACTGAACTTGTAAGAAAGGCCACAGGCATTACTTGCTTATCTGGAATTCTAACTGTGTGGGGAAACCTGCATTTTGTTTGCCCTTCTGCTCCTCACCACATGAGGTACTCAGAAGTAGAGTGTGTGTGTGCTCACCCAGAAGGATCAAAACGAGACCAAGTTGCCTTTGGAGTGACCCGTTGCTCCTAGATGCCCATGGCCTACCTAGGGGTGCAGGTGAGAACTCCAGGCTGGTCGTTGTGGGATAGGCAGATATTTGAGGAAAATACTCCTCAGAAGTACAGAAGCTGGGGACAGGGAGCAGGGGCTAGTTTGGGGGACAGAAATAGCCTTGTTTTACTGCAGAAGCCAGGAGAGAGGACAACTGAGCTAACAAGTACAGCCCATCATGGGAGGCAGGCCTGGGCAGCTCTGGCCCCACTGAGGTTGCTGGGGGGTGGCCATCCAGCCAAGAGCAGAGCTGAGCAGGGTTTGCTGTACCCACCACTAAGCTGACTCTCCAGGAGAGGCCAGATGCTCACTGTCATCCTAGGTGGAGCCATGTGGGGAAAACCAGCCTGCTAGGTTTCCCCGAAGGCTGTGTTCACCTAACTGACAGCCTGAAAGGTCCTGCTGTGTGTTTGCTGGGACTGGGAAGGTGAAGGCCGAGCTTAAAGCCAACAGAGAAAGTGATGATGGATAGGGGAGATGGTAGCTCCCAGGAGCCTCGACTTGACCAACAAACCTCAGAGGGGCGCCAGGGAGAGGCTGGCGCTGCAGCTTTCTGGTTTCCTTTCTCACGTAGGTGGGACATCTCAGAAAGCACCACAGATCGTTCAGGCCATAGCAAAGCCTGCTGTCCTCACTTCTCCCTGGACCCTCTCCCGGCCTGGGGGAAGGCAGTACAGGAATGAGGAACAGGTGGGGAGGCTGCGTAGGGGAGGGAGGTGACCCATTCCTTCCACCTGCCTGGCTGCCACATGGAGGCGTGGTCACGGTCACCGGTCACCAAGGAGGCCGGCTGCCTACCTGTCCTTCCTCGCCGCACGCTGCCCTGCTCCTTGCTCCTGCTTCCTGCTGCTGGTACAGTGTCCCTGCTCAGGCCTCACCTTCTCCAACAGCCCCTCTGTTGCTGGACCTCAGACTGACCTGGGCCTGAGGCACCCATGACACCTTGTGTAGAGAACTTGTGAAGTGCAGAGCTCCTGGTGCCTGGTTATTTATCGGGGGCATGTTCCACGGGCCCCAGGACGTGAGCTCTGCAGACCCCAGAGCTGGAATCACCACCTCTCATCCACCCCAGGCCATCGTTACCACCATTCCCATTACTGCTCACTGTGGCCTCTGCCTCTGCTCAACCACACGGTGTTCCAAGCAGCCCTGGTGCCAAGATAGGGAGGTGTGGCGGTCATGCCACCTGTCAGGGGAGTGTGGAATACAGGAGGTAGGTGAGGCCTTGGCACAGGAGAAGGGCACAAGACCGAGTGAGAAAGGGGTGCCGGAAGATACTCTCTCAGGCTGGGGAACACAGACATGGATCACCTTAACACACGGGGTACACAGAGCCATCTGTCCTGCCTGTCCCAGGGCCATTTGGTCAGTCCAGGACAGACTGGAAACTGGCTAGTCCTGGGTTCAGAATCTGTGGGTGCAGTCTCTG